CAGAAGAAAATTTTGCAAGTCAGCTGGTCGGTGGAGGAATCACCACAAGGTCAGCAGGACATGGCCGTACCTTTCATACTGGGCCTCTCCCTGTGGCCAGTTCTAAATAACTTGCATCCCAACTGGCCCAATGGCCTGAACTGGGTAATTCGGAAAATCCCCCTCTTAACAATAGCATCCTCCCAGAAAATTAATCTCTTCTTTTAATGAGTCATAAGATTATCTGTATTCAGTACCAGTTTAAGAAAATCACATGCTTATAGTCTGTCTGAACTCCAAGGTCTAATAAAATAAAAATAAATGAAGAAATCTACATAAAATGCTTGCTTCAAACAATACCTCAAGTTAGACACCATTATTTCTCTGACATGATCATTCTTTTTTTTTTTTTTGACATAATCATTCTTAAGTCAGTTTTCCATTGTGTTACTAGCAAAGGCAAGTTCATAGAGCTATGAGGTTCAGAGATATTATAGGCCAAAAACATGATTTTCAAGTACACGATGTATTTTGAGGCTTGCTGCCTCCCTGTCAGTAGAGAGGGGAATCATAGTTTTTGTTCTCCCCGCCCATAGATGTGGTGTTAGGTGAGGAACTCAGTAAATGCTTACCAGGCAACTCGTATGTGCCAGGCTTTGTGCCAAGGACGCAGGACGCAGCAGTGAACAGCCGCTCTCATCCATGGGACCTCAGCTGTATCTGGACTGCACTACTGAGTGGGAGATTGGAAGATTTGTATTATTGCTATAGGGAAACACTATTTATAGTGGAAACTATAAAATATAATATAAAAGTGATGTGCTTTTGAGGCACTTTCCACATTAGTAAGTGATTTTTGTGATTGCCTGGTATCCTAAGCATGGCTGTGGAAGGAGAGGACAGGCTCCTGCTTCACATTTTCCAGACGTGCAGGCCGGGCATGGTGGCTCACACCTGTGGTCTTAGCGCTCTGAGAGGCGGAGGCAGGAGGATCGCTTGCAGTTAGGAGTTAGAGATCACTCTGAGTGAGAGTGAGAGCCTGTCTCTGCTAAAACAACAAAAGAAATTAGCTGGGTGTCATGGTGGGTGCCTGTAGTTCCAGGTACTCAGGAGGCTGAGGCAGGAAGATTGCTTGAGCCCAGGAGTTTGAGGTTGCTGTGAGCTATGATGCTACAGCACTCTAGCCCAGGCAGCAGAGTGAGGCTCTATCTCAAAAGAAAAAAAAAAAAGAAAAGAAAAGAAAGAAAGAAAAAGAAAAAAGAAAAGAAAAGAAAGTGGTGTACAGAGAGTCGTCTTGGTCCAGATCATAGAAGTATATGGCAAAGGTAGGATTCGAACTCATGTTCCCCGATCTTTTTTAATGCAGGGATCTTACCACATGTATATTCTGTATTACTGGGAAAATATGTTGTTATCGTTTACATAATCCCTTTGGAATGCAGGGAGGATAAATGGTAACGCTCTTTCAACAGGTAAATACAAATAAAGAAAAAGAAAGTTCAGGTCTGCAGCAGATTACAGCTGAATTGATGACCCTGTGCCTGGGAAATCTGTTCTGTATTTTAATTGTTTTTTGTTTGTTTGTTTTTCCTTAGACCCTGTTCTGGGAAAATAGCTACCTCCTTGTTAATAGCTATGCAGAGAACACCCGTCGCTTTATGCCTGTGAGTGACGTTCTCTATGGCCGGGTTGCAGATTCCTTGAGCTGGTGTCGACAGAATAACAGCGCTGGTAAGACCCCTGTCCTGGCCACACGACGCGTAAGTGCTCCTGGTGACGGGACACTTAGCGTTTGTGCCAAATTCTTCCATACACACATCTCATTTTATCCTCTTCAATAATAACAGCGATAACAGGTGGAGAATATTTATTTTTTGCTAGGTACCAGCCTAAGCACTTCACAGATATTAATTCATTTAATCGCCACCATGGCCCCGTGGAATCCTGTCATAATTCCTATTTTGACAAAGGAAGAAACTGAGACACAGCAAGATTAAGAAACGTGCTCAGGGGCTCGGCGCCTATAGCTCAACCGGCTAAGGCGCCAGCCACGTACACCTAAGGTGGTGGGTTCGAATCCCCAGCCCGGACCCGCCAAACAACAATGACGGCTGCAACCAAAAAATAGCTGGGCGTTGTGGCGGGCCCCTGTGGTCCCAGCTACTTGGGAGGCGGAGGCAGGAGACTCGCTTGAGCCCAGGAGTTGGAGGTTGCTGTGAGCTGTATGCCAAGGCACTCTACCCAGGGGGGATAGCTGGAGGCTCTGTCTCAAAAAAAAAAAAAAAGAAACGTGCTCAGGGTTGCATAGCTAGTAAGCAGCAGAGTCAGACAGTCTCCCAGCTGTGCACACCTCTGCCTTAACCTCCTCATTTTCCAGAGAGGGAAACTGAGGCTTAGGGAGGTGAAATGACTAAAAGGCTGGGAATTAGCCCTGGGTTTTTTGAGACAGAGTCTTACTACGTCGGCCTCGGTAGAGTGCCGTGGCGTCACAGCTTACAGGAACCTCAAACTCTTGGGCTTAAGTGATTCTCTTGTCTCAGCCTCCCATGTAGCTGGGACTACAGGAACCCGCCACAATGCCTGGCTAGTTTTTCTTGTTGTTCCAGTTGTCACTGTTGTTTAGCTGACTGGGGCTGGGTTCGAACCCACCAGCCTTCGTATATGTGGCTGGCATCTACCCACTGAGCTGTGGGCACCGCCAAATTAGCCCTGTTTTGACAGATTTTGATGTCTTGGCTCTTAAATGCCACCCAAGGCCACCAGCAGATACTCCGAGATTAAAAACACAAGGAGGCTGGGTGCAGTGGCTCACACCTATAATCCTAGCACTCTGGGAGGCCAAGGCAGGTGGATTGCTTGAGCTCATGACTTAGAGACCAGCCTGAATAAGAGTGAGACTCATCTCTACTAAAAATAGAAAAACTGAGGCAAGAGGACAGCTTGAGGTTGGAGGTTGCTGTGAACTATAACAGTACGGCATTCTACCCAGGACAACAGCATGAAACTCTGTCTCAAAAATAAATTAATTAATTAAAAAATAAAATAAAATCACAGGGAAAGTTAGAGTTGGCAGAGCTGGCCTGATGTACTGCAGGCTGTCCTCATTCTTCCAGCTATGGTGCTAGGTGACAGAGATGCAGCGGTGCCTGCCTTCAGGGAACCTGTGGCCTTGTGGATGCATTTGCTGGAGTAGTGTGTGCTCAGGAGTGGTAGAGGGAGAGACTGGCCTCAGCTAAGGCATCAGGAAAGCTGAGGAGACAGGCTAGCAGAAAAGGAGGTAGGGGAGTGTCCCATCCTGCAGACTGGTGATTCTTCCTCCTGTCTGTCACAGTCACTGTAAGAGTGAACCTGATATCAGCTCTGCTTACTTCACCCCCATTCATGTGACCTTCCAACCCAAATTCATAGAGGGCCTCCTGTGTGCCAGGCCTTTCTCTTTAGGCACTAGGAGCAGCAGAGAACGCAACAGGGAAATAACACCCCATCCCTGCATGACAGAGTGGGCAGATAAGACAATCAACAGACAAGTACGATGTGTGGTCTGCCCTGAGATGATAAGGGCCACGGAGCAACACAGAACAGGGAAAGAGGATAGAAAAGGCTGGGCGGAGCAGGAGAGGAAAGTGTTGCAGTTTCACAGAGATGCCCAGGGAGCCTCAGTGAGATGCTAATATTTGAGCAAAGACCTGGAGGAAACGAGAAAGAGCAGAAAGAGCATTTTCTGACAGGGAGAGCCCCAAGTGCAAAGGTCCTGTTGGGCTATTTCAGGATTAGCAAGGAGGGCAGTTAGTGAAGAGGAAAGCAGTGGGCTATGAGGGAGAGGGATAAAGGGGGAGAGATGGCACAGGACATGGTGAGGGCGCTGGCTTTCCCTGGTAGCGAGTTGGGGAACATCACAGGGCACAGGTCAAGTGGGTGTGACCATTCTCCCAATGAAGAGTGACCAGGAACCTGAGTGTGATTATCCTGCTCAGGGTAGGGACAATGGGGAGGGGTGCAATGGAAAAATTATAAAGGAAGAGAGCGTTTTTCCAGAAAACCACAGGTCACCGTTGCTTCCTCTGCCATTCCTATCTACATCCTCCTCTCAGGGCTTTTTGTTTAAAGAGGAAATGAAGTCCCACAGTCTGGGTCACTAAATAATGGTGCGTTCATCATGGAACCCATTGGGGCTCCAGCAATGATAACAGAATTTTGTTTTTCTGGACCTAGAAAGATGTTTATGACATATTCTTAGGTGAAAAATCAAGTTATACAATACCATGATTAGGGCTGGACACGATGGCTCAGGCCTGTAATCTCACCACTCTTGTAGGCCAAGGTGGATGAATTGCTTGAGCTCAGGAGTTGGAGACCAGCTTGAGCCAAAGGGAGACCTGGTCTCTAAAAATAGCCAGGTGTTTTGATGGGCACCTGTAGTCCCAGATACCCAGGAGGCTGAAGCAAGAGAATCCCTTGAGCTCAAGAGTTAGAGGTTGCTGTGAGCTATGAAAGGAGGGCACTCTACCAAGGGTGACAACAGTGTGTATATATATATACAGTATTGTATATATACTGTTGTTGGTATGGGCTATTTAAATTTAAAAATGGAGTAATGAAAATACACACATAGAAAAAAGTCAGGAAGGTAGCAAACCTTAAGCTGTTAACAGCAGTTCTTTAAAAATTTTTTAAGTTTCATTTTATTTTTGACTGACATAAAGTGATTATGCATATTTATGGGACACATTGTGATGTTTTGCTATATGTAGACACTGTGTCGTCATGAAATCAGAGTACTTAGCACTTCTTCACCTTACACACATATCATTTCTTGTGGTAAGTAATTCAAAGTCCCCACTTCTCGCTATTTTAAAATTTATGATGTGTTACATTTAACCATAGTCACCCTGCTGTGGACTAGAACCCCAGCACTTCTGCCTCCTCACTGTGACACTGACCCTGCTGACCGGCCTCTTCCATTTCCCTAACCACCTGCTCTCCCAGACTTGGGAGCCTCTATTGCACTCTCAACTTTTATGAGATCGGCTCTTTGAGGTTCAATGTATGGGTGAGATTATGTGACACTTGCCTTTTTGTGCCTGGTTTATTTCACTTGACAGAACATCCTCCACCTATATCCCTGCTATCACAGATGACAGAATTTCCTTCTTTTTGTGGCTGAATAGCATTCCATGGTGTATGTAAGCCACGTTTTCTTAATCCGTCATCAGCTGGTGGATGCAGGCTGCTTCCTTGCCTTTGCTGGGATAAACAGTGCCATTAGCAGAACACCTTGCTGAGGTCATAATTCTTTCTTATCCCATAATTACTACATTTTTGTATTTTTTGGTAATTTAACTTGTGAGGATAAATATTTTTAAAGAAAAATATCTTAAGTAAATGATAATAATACTCACCAGTTGTTCATAGTTTAAGTCGAAAATATGCAAATACAGAAATGACGGTTGGGGCAAATACCACCTCAAGACCTGGCTGTCAGAAGTGGTGGAAGGAACACTGGAAGCTGGAGACGTAAATTCCCATCCTCTGTATCACAGACCATCCGTAAAACCTCTCTGAGCCTCAGAAATCTTTGAAAAATTGGGACATTGGCCTGCAGAGATGAAAGCTTGGAATATTTTCAAACCTCAAGTGTGTAATTCAAAGAAGTCACTACCACTCTCTTATGTAATGATTAAGCAATGGTCCTCCCTTGTGAC